AAACACAAAAATATCAAATGCTTCTCTCTCTCCTTTACACGAATTTTTCGAGCTATTGACTGATAATTGAATCTATTTTAAATTTTGAGTTTTCCTTAGTATTTGGTAAATGTTTTTGCTCTATTTATATTATTTATGTTAATAGAATGGTTGGACCAATGGTTTTCGCGCTAGGTGGATTCGTGATTGCTTTTTCAATTTGAAATTGAAACAATTTTAAATGAAATGAATTGGCATGTCTGAGTGTAAAGTAGGAATTTTAGCGGTAGCTGCATCTTGGGTGGGCGACAAATTCTTCGTCTTTGGATCAACAAGTATCTATTTGCATGTTTTGGCTTATAGATGATTAGCATGGGACGCGGAGACCAACAGTCTCAGATGGTGCAGCGGGTGATTGCGCGTTTTGATTTTAATGCCTCAGAGCCGGAGGAGTTGTCATTCCATCGGGGTGACGTGATTGAAGTGTTGGGCCAGGAGGACGAAAATTGGTGGCGCGGTCGAATCTCCAACACCGGCTCTACCGGCCTCTTCCCTGCCAACTACGTGGACACCCTACCACCCATTATGCCCAATGCTGCTCACCGTCCCACCAACTAGGCTACTGCCGCCGACTTCAAAATTACCAGTCCGATTTTTCACCCTCCTTCCTCACTCCCATTTTCTTGTGATGCTAACCACGCCGGCACAAGACTACCGACTCATTTCTGATTCCTCATCTCTCACTTCCTTTGTTCGATCGATGACTTTCTCGTTCGTTCGCTTCTTCGTCTAACGCCTTTCTCCTTCAATTCTAAACCAGCGTATGTGTGTGTATGTCTGTCAATGCGTAACTGTGTATACTGCGCGGCTACTCCCCTTACTACCTGATCCGAGTTGGTTACCCGCCGACCCAATCCTTGTCTCATCGCATTACATTGTTGCTCATGCTGACGCCTCGTGCTGCTGCGCCCGTGTTATGCTACCATTCGAAGTTGCTGTTGCCACTGCCACCGCCACCGCCGCTGGTGCTGCTGCCGCTAAAATGGTGTCTCATCCCTTTTCTGGTCTCCTTCGGGGTTAAGGAAAGGGCGGAAGAGATGAACCATGGGGTGGAAAGGTCCGAGGTTCCCAGATTCTTAGTGGTTAACCAATAGACCGGTGGCACTGAGATGGGTGGATGAATTCGAAGTGTATAGAAAGATCGGGGCCGGATGAGTGAGCTTAAGATGAGAAGTCAGGTGGGGTCTTGAGTAGAGGCAGAATTTGAGTACTGATGACAGAGTTCCCAACAGGATGCTATTGAGGTGGGGGGCGTACGATAACAGCCTTTAATTAAAGTATTGTTTGGATTTTGTTTTGGGTTCACGCACTCTCCTTACGTGTCACAGTGCTTGGACTAAAACTGGCTTGTAAGCAGCAAAAGGAATGCGTTAATTTTGGTGAGTAATTGCTTTTTAAATAAGAATGGCCTAAGGCGAATTCTGCAGTTGATTTTAACAGTACATTTATTTGAACCAATTATTAAGTGAACTGTAGAGTCCCGAGACTCCCTGAAGACGAAAGAAGACACAATACTTGGGCAGAATATATATTCAGCGTAGAGAAGGTGTCTGGGCTATTGGCATGACCCAAAAGGCCAGCCCACCCAGCGAGGTACAAGGGGGCTAATTCAAAGCACAAAAGTGGCGCCTCACCAGGACCAAGGGATAAACCACTATCGTACTACAGAACAAAACCTTAAATTTGATAATCGATTCACAGCCGTTGTTCCATGGTGAGTGCGGTTGAAGAGAAATTAAGCTGGGTGAAGCATGTATTCAGTTAGCATTTAGCCCGGAATAATACCAAAATGCACTGAGCTACTGACTGTCGATATGAATGTTACAAATACCATTTTTGGGTGTTTGTGTTTCATAAAAAAACAAGTGGCACAAAGTGGTAAAGGTACTAAAGCAACTAGTCTGTGAAAAATACGAAATTTCTTCTGCAAAATAAATGTTTGCAAATACTAAAGCATTTTAATTACAGTAAATACTTTATTCATGGACTAATATATTGGAAACCCAGCCTTTGTTTGAGTAAACCAGGGTTTTGCATCGCAAAAATGCCGAAACGTTTTCTGTGTGATCTTAAGGTGGCTGAATTACGTAACGAACTAGAAAAACGCGGTGTAGACAAAAGTGGTGTGAAACCAATTTTAATGGAACGATTGAGAGAAGTATTGCTGTGTAATCCTACTTATTTTCAGATTATTCTGAAGGAGGGCTACGACCCAGCGACGTTCAACTTTAAGAATGCTAGTAACCCGGGGGTGGGTCCACCTGGTGACGGTCTGCGTGTTAAGGTAGATAAACATTTCATTTTGGATAAATGTTTATAGGTGGAAACCTCTGATGTTGAGGCCGCAATCGGTAAGTCAATTCGTTTGTGTCACTGATTGCCTGGGTCCCCTTCCCAAGTTTTTTGCGTTATTAATGGTCTGCGTGGTTAGCTTCTGCATTTAATGGTGTGCTTTCAATTCGGGTAGAGGGTTTTGTTGGCATTTTCTGGGGGTTGTGCCCCTGGAGCCTACTTAATTTGGATTGTATCCAACTTCTAAGACATCCCATGTAATCGACGTGGATAATGTGTTCGATTGCCGGATGTTTCATCTTCTAATGCATACATTGTGATTTGCGATCCTCAAGCGGAACTGGATAATTCAGGACGGCCTGAATCACACCTGACATCTGTGTCAGAGGGTTCAATTGGTGCCGCAGAGGCGTCCGAAATTGATGATAAAGCAAAGGAGGATGCAAATGAGCAATCAGAAGACGCAACCACTTTTGTGGTTAGGGTTGGTGAAAATGAAGACGACTTGGACTATGACATTAAGGATGCATCGGCTTCTGCTGAAGAGCGCCAAAAGGAAACGAAAATGTCACCCTCCGCTAAGAATGTGGACAGGTTGGTCTGCCTGAAACTTCGACTTCCTCCACGCCAGGCTTGTCTGGTTCATCCGACTTCCTTTTCATTTCAGCGAAGCTAGCACCACTACAAAACAAATATACCCGGAAAAACAGCTAGGTAAATTGCAGTCAAGCAAGACTTCAATCACCTCCGAGCAAGCCTATCTGCGTGTGAGCAATTTGAAAATGCCCACGAAAGCTGTTGATTTAAAGCAATTTTTCAGCTCTCATGGCAAGGTCGTTTCAGGCAAGATTTTGGCAAGTACACGCGCTCCCGGTGGATGCGTTGGTTTTTTGAAAATGGCCTCTGCAGAGGACGCTGCCGCATGCATTAAAAAGTTAGATGGGACCGAATTTAATGGCAAAATCATAAAAATTGAAGCCACAGACAAAGTTCCCTCTTCTATATCAAAAGCACCCAAGAAAGAGTCATCGTCCGGTCCCGACAAAATCAAGCCCGTTGGGACACCGGCTCCATCTAAATCAAGCCGTTTTCGTGGAGGAGACGTAGGTATGTCTGCCTTGTGCAGTGTGTGTGAATCATCATCATCCTGCCCTACTTTACTAGGTAGTCGAGCTGTCGTTAGCTCACGTTCCATTGAGTCCGGTGGTGGTGTAGGCTCTGCTTCGCCGAACGGGCGCCTTCATCGTCGCAGTGCCCGAAATATACTGGGACGATATCGGAAATCCGCGCTCATCAATTCCCACTTCACACGTTCCCTCCAAAGAGCTCAAAATTTCATGCACCATGCTGGAGGCAGCGTGACAGTCTCTGCACGATCGTTTCGAGTCCGACAAAATCGACGTCGCATTTCTGATGAAGCTGAGGCTGTCGGTAGTGATCCAAAAAGATCCCGTTTCAAAATAGTGAGTAACTCTCATATTTCCGTCGTCTTGACTTTGGCGGAGCTGAAGGGGTTTTCAGTACACCCTGCCGATGCTGCTATCTCAAGTTGAAGAATTCTGAAGTTAAATCAATGGTGAATGTACTGTGTTGAATGGCTACCAAATAACAATCATGAGTCCAAGAGTTTCTAGATGGGAGATACACTGTCTTCCAACCATGCACTCTTTTCTCGTTGTTGTGATGCCTATGCTTGTATGCGCACTTAACGTGTCTTTGTCTTTAGCCTTGTCCAAGAGTTCACTACTACGAAAGCTTACCGGCCTTTACACAGTATAATTCATCGAGGTAAGCTGGTTGCTCGTTGATATGTCCGATTCAGAACCCGCTGTGATGAGCATTCGGAGCGAGAAGCACCCCACGATCATCGCTGTAGAGGAACGCGGGAATCCTACCCTGTTCGGACACGCAGAGACGAGTCGTACTCTGTCCACTCTGCTGACGTGTATTATCGACGTGGATCTCGTTTTGCCTCGCCCCAGGAAGAGATACCGTCCCGGCACTACGCCAAACCCGTGGTCTACAGACGCCCCCCAACTGATAGATTTGATGTACCTGTGGGCTACGTGGGAGATGGCGGTGGTAGTAGTTCGTTGTATCGACACCGAGTGCGCTACAACAACTACATCGTCAGTTGTGGTGGCACCGATGACGCTCGACCCCGTATCTTTGATGCGAACTATAGACAACAATCCCGAGCGCGTGGTAGCCAGTACAAGTCCTACCAAAATAGCAACAGAATCAACAAAGACGATCACCTTTTGCATCCAAGTAGACATCCAAATGATCGAGAACCCATTTGGCAAGTCGACTTTACACATTGCTGTTTCTGTACTGGCGAGAGGAGCCTATCAGGGAGTCCTGTACTGTGACTCAGAGCGAAGTCGAAAGAGATTTTGGCAAGACTTTCGAAATAAACACATAGTTTCTTCCGCCTCGACGAATGTGAACCCTGCCTAAAAGATTGAAATCCCGTTGAATTTCCCTAGATGTCTCGGCTTCGAATAGAGTTGAATGAGGGAGGAGTTTGCGCGTATGCCGCACTAGCACTGATTTCAACAAACGTTACTTCGATTCCAAACGGTCTCGGCAAGATGTTTCAGAATTCTGTGCACTTACCTACCCCACGAGGTCCCAATTCGTTTTAAAACTGAAATATTGTCAACACTTCCTGTGGAGGCGCTTCTATGCCCCTTAAATCGACCGATTCCCGCCACCACTGCTCGTAGTTATTCCCAAACCGGCATGAAAAGAGCTTCCGCTGAAAGGCGGCTTTATTGATTGTTACTCTTTGCACATAGGAAAACTCCTGATCCTTCGACATCTCACAGACATCGCTCAAGGGATAGATCACGGTCACCACCGCCAAGTCGTGCAAGCGGAGTGAGCAGATCCCGATCGCCACCACCGTTACCTCCACCCATTCATTACACCCGTCGGTCCCCTCCTCCTCCCTCTTCCTCGTTGGCGTCTCACAAGCATCGTCCCAACTACGAAACTTCCTCCGCCAGTAGTTATTCCAGACGTGCGGGTGGTGGTGACACTCATCAGAGTTACCCGCAAGCGTCTGGCTCCATGCCCTCATCCTCCAGGATTTCGCAGAAGGTCTCCCATATCATTGACTACGGGCATAGATCCAGTAGGCTATTTTTTCGTTGTCTGATCGATTTCAGCACTTTCTTGCAACCTCCGACAGTTTTATTGTCTCGAAATAAGTAGGGGCTACTGCGTAGTTATTGCTTGATCTACTGTTAAAGTCTACTGCGCATATTTGGGGTAGCGAGACCCCCAACTAACGTAGGCTACTAGTTTCGCTAGTCTGTTGCAGCTTATGCTTCTTGTGCGCCTTCTGTTCCTTCAAGTAGGCTTTCAATAGTGAGTTTGAGGTAAATCTGGATCAGTCCACCCGGTTGTAACGTCACTGTCTGCTGGTTGTTGAAGCGCCATAATCAAACAGCAAGGGCAATAATTTGAGCATCGGAATAAAGCTTAGGTGCTTCAGTGATTTGTTGATGGAAGTGGATGCGCACACTTATTTGCAAATCAGTGATGTACTATGGCAGAGGTAAGTGCTCTATGTTTTTGCTCTAGGCGCCAATAAGTCCATCCCCAGTTGGCAGTCCTCATCGCGGTCACAGAATTTCGATGCTTCCGGATTCTCCAGTGGTGGAGCTGTTGGTGGGAGTAGAGGGGGCGGCAGCGGCTACTCTTCCACCCAGTGGCGCTCTTCTGGATACAGCTCACGACAGCAAACACGCTATTGAAAATAACGAACATATTTTTACTGTGCATTATTGGAACTAATCCTGTGGGATGTGCTAAAGAGAGGCCCTTTTGTTGTTGTCGGTGGACGTTAGATTGCACTTCTGTCTTTGAGTTTATTAGAGTCACCGGCACAGTTAAACGGCCTTCCTACCCCTCCCGCGGTTACCGCTGTGATCTCATACCTCCACCCCGAAACGATGCTAGCTCCGTCCGGAATAAACCCCTCTCTGAACCACTCTGATATTCCTCCACGCTGAACGTGGGTTGCCACAGGGATTAATCTAAGCCATTGGTAAACGTTCGCCGACCGCTGCATTTGATCTAATAGTCGAAGCCGATGAGCGTTGGTTCTGTGACGGACAAGTGAAAAACTTCAAAAATGTCACCACCGGCACGCATGAGTTTCCCCAACGGCCACTGCTCTATTATATTCGGATAACCTCGAAACTCCTCAGGGTTGATTTGCGTAAATCTTGCCTCAGTGAAGATGACTTATTAGGGAAATTGGATCAAGTGATCCCTTAAACATTACTGATCTGAGTAAATGTTTATCCTTAGTCCTCCGTATGAGCTATTTTTGGTGAAGTGATGGATTACGTGTGATCCGACAAATATATGAGGCATGGCGGACCTACGAAAGTTTCCGGACAAAAGTCACTGTGCACACTAGTTGCCTCTCGGATGTTTCCTCTGTTCCAAGTCGACTCGCCTCTAGGTTCGCCTCCAAAACCGACACATAAGGAGGAAGGGGGAGATGGAATACTAATGCAAACAAATACGCAGTCACGTGGGCGCACACACAGGGAAAAAATCGGTTGGAGAATGTGGGGAAAACAATGAGTACGCCAGGGTATATACATAAAAGCCTGCGAAAACGCCAAATTAACCTTAATCCCTCCATATTACCACCGGGGTGAGCGGCGGGTCCCGACACCGCCACCACTAGTGCCATCGCCACGCGCGCGACGCTTGCCCAACCCACTGTATTGCCCACTCGATTCAGAATGCTGCTGTTGCTGCTTCCGATGATACATTCCACGTGGAACATTCGGAGACGGTGTTGGCTGCTGGTGGTGACGCGAGTAGCGGTGGTGTCTCGACGGAGGCGATTCTGGATAGGCCGAGGGGCCAGGATGGTACTCATAGGCCTCGTCGTCATCATCCACATCAGCCAGACCCTCTTCATCTTCCTCTTCTTCCTCATCTTCATCGAAGTAGTCGTCAGGTGGTGGTGGTGGCGGGGCGTGGTGGTGGTGACTACCAGCGGCCGTGCGACGCTGTTTGCTCGGCGGGCCCAAGGCGCGCGATTTATGGGACTTTGGGGGCGGAGGCGCAGAGCGTCGCATCCCTAGGTCCGGCTTTTGCAACTGCCGTGGATACAGCGCCCAGATATCGGCCACGTCGTGGATATAGAGGCTATGATTCTCCAGCTCCTTGGAGATGTCTGCGCCGCATTTGTAAAGCTTGCTATGGTCCAACTTGTAAGTGAGCCAGTCGTCAGCTGGAATGTGCCGAACCGCTGGTCGCTGAAAGCGATGAAAAGAGGGAGTTAGTTTAGATGAGAGTCCTCCAAAAAATGAGGTAGATTTAATGAAACTCACTGGTACTGGTGGTTTTGCAGGCAGTTGGGCTTTCTGAATAGGGGCGTGCGATGGACCCGGATGACCTATCAGCTAAAGGAAAGATGGGGAAGGCACGTGACAACTACGCTGCAACCCAGAATATGGACTCTGATAATAATGATGTAACCTAACAACTTCTAGAGAAATCTGATAACAATGCAGTGACTAACCCTTGCACTACTGCAAGAGATAGTATGACAGACCTCTACGCCTTGCACTACCAAAGGTTGAAAGCTATGGAGGTGGAAAAGCAAATTATCTACAGAAGTACTTACGAAGTGCGTTCAATCGCTTATTGGGGCGAGTGCTTCAAATTGTCAAATAAAACGCAATCAAGAACCATTTCAATGAGCTAATAAAACAAAATTAAAAGTGAGCGTTTTTTTGGAGCGAGTTAGCAATGAGACGAAGGGGAGGTGAGCTACAATCCAAACTAAGCTCGATTTCAGTTTGAAAATCTGAAACTGGAGTAGGGAAGAGAAGGTTGATTCTCAAGTTAGTCAACTATAAAATTAAGAACTTCCAAAACTGCGCTTTTCAAAAAGGACTAAAAGTCGGAAACTTTAAGCTCGTGACCGGTGAAGGTGCAGGGTGCCAACGCTAAATCAGGGATAAAAAGACGTCGGAGAATGGGACTTCGGAAAAAAACAATCATATAATTAAGGGATCATACGCCGAATTACAGATACCAAAGAGGTAATGGTGCAAATGGCAAAAGAATGGAGGACATAAGTCTGTCGTTCCAACCACCCTTGCACATTTTGCAAATCTCGACTCGATTTCAGTGGTGCAATCACCTGTAAGAACAGGACTTGACGCAAATTACTGGATAAGACGAAGGCTCCTACGTACCAGCACTGTTGGTCCGTGAAGTCATCCTTGACAAAAAGCGTGTGCTTTAAGATAAATGGAAAAAGTATTTAAGTACTTGATAATGCTTCTCCACCATCTTCCCAAAACCATCGAGGATTTCAGGTTCACATCTACTAAGAGGTAAGACGGAGTTTCAGGTGTTTTGACACCTTGTAAAGTACAGGTATCATTTACAATGAACACAAGCGACAGGATCGTAGAACGAAAAAGGGTGGTATGTACCATCTTTTCAACGAGCAAGAAATTACTTTAAGACAGACAAAGTGACAAACGAGAATCGCCAACCAAAAAACCCTTTCCAGCTGCTGCCAGTAAAGTCACAATAGCCTCGAAAAAATCGGAAATTAACTAGGAGACGCGAAGAAAGATTCGTGAAAAATGTGAAGCTATAAGAGATCCTCCCTAAGGGGTCTTCACAAATGTTCTGGCCAATAAATGTCGCCGCAAAACAAGCTGAATGAAAGCAACAGTGGGAGGTTGAAGAGGCATGAAACTTTCCACAAAAGACAGGAAAGTAAACAAAGAACTGTGAAGTATTCAAAGGCGACATAACAGTTAAAATATAGGCGATGGAGGGTCACGATTATTTGCAAGGGAAAAGGGCACATACCGAACTGGAGATGAGACCAGGCGCAACGCCACTACCGCCAGCAGCAACCACGTATCCAGCAGAGGCAGAAGGTGTAATGTCGATACTGGCGTGGGGGGAGACGAAGACAGTAGTAGGCGGCTTTGGCAAGATGGGGACGTACTGGGGCGTGGAGCCGACGGTGGCTCCCGCCACACCTCCACCTTCGCCACTCCCTCCAGCCGCTGCCACCGCCGCAGCAGCAAGCGATGCCGTGGTAGAAGCCGCGGGGTCAGGAGGCAGTGGTTTGCCGGTCAGTGTGGCACAAGCCCGAAGGAAGTCGCGCAGCTGCGGCAGGCGCGCACATTGCGGTGTCATTAACGGTCGAATTCCCACGCAGATTACCTGGTGGAGAAAGAATACACTAATTAGGGTACTACCCAGATATCAGAGCACACAAAGAAAGTGACGGATTTTGGATGTTGTAAGCTGAATTCGTCAAAAAGCGGTTATGAACTAGCACTGTGTAACTCAGTCAACTAATCCAATTATCACCCTTGGAGCACAACCTAACTTCTACTCAGAATAGGTGGTGTGCACTAAATGATTGGCTATTCGACAACAGATCCAACGGACAAAACATAACAACAAAGAAGACCACACCGAAAAAAAATAGAATTTGCCCAAAAATCAAGTGGAAACAGTGGTCTCTCATACCGGCAAGCATGAAGATAGCCTATGACAAGATACACATCGAATACTTCCTAATTCTAATGATCAAGTGTTAAAAAATAGCAATAAATTTATTCGTAATGAATTTATAAGGTGCGATAATGAACTGTGCACTCCAAGGTGATCAAATTAACCGGCAGGGACATTGCTAGCTGCTATTTTCAAAGCAAATCCGAGCAATACAAAAAGGCTTTGGCAAGTGCACTGTTATGGTTCGCTTAACCAGCTGCTTTTGTTTTGAAACAATACCAGTCATCAAGGTGGCACTCTTAGCGCCCTAGTGCGTCCCTTATGCTGATGTTCAATTTGATCAGATACCATCTTCCGCAAATTTTTAAATACGAACAAATCAACTTTTGAATAAGTCAGCCTTAATAAGGAATTAATTCCGTAGTTGACTAAGCCTAAAGGAGTGGCTACCCTGCTCTAACTCATGCTACAAAATGTCGTGTCTGAGTCGCTAAAGCTTGCCAAGTAAGGAGAAACCTAGATTGATTAAGCGATATCGAGTGCAAGGCTCTCAACAATACAATTCCATCTCAAAAAGAAGTCCAACAATGATTCAGGCAGAAAATAGGAAGGGAGATTCTGAAGGCTAATGAATGGAAAAGGCAAGTGGCAAGGGTCAAGTGGTGAGAAATTTAGACACATTACAAGCAAGACGAATTATCACCCAACATGAACCTATAAATCAAACAAAACAAGGACAGCGGCACGCAACAAAGTAAGCACATTAGGTTAAGCAACCCCATGCTGCATCAAAGTTGCCAACTGCTGAACCCAGAGCCGGGTCAGTAATCACATCGACGCGGAGACTAAAATAAACACGCAATCAAAACAGAATAAAGATACGAACCTCAATCTATTTTGCATAAACTGGAAACCATATGTAAAAAAGCGACTTCATCGTTTAGCGATAGGAAATTGAGCGTCTGATTCGTCTGAATTCAAGACCAGAAGCCTGATAACAACTTCAGTTAATTGGGACTCGGGCTACTGAGGTGGACTAGTGAAAATGCCCATGACACCACTAAGAATAAGCGATCCACGCCTTTCTAATAATAGTAAAGTATTGGTCTGTCGGTTTTGCATCAGCTATCATAAAAGAAGTTGTCCAGTTGATCAACGCCTGAGGTAGTGATTCCTTGTCACTAGAACGAAAGACAGCCCATTGAAGTCTGATGTTTTAAGCACAGTGAACAAATAAAAGAAAAAGAATTCAGCACAAATCTTCAGCCTAACTATCTACTGCTAAACCACCCCCAAAACTCCCAGATGACAAGATAAACAATCTGGGTCGAAATGGCGCAATCACAGAGTTGGATTGCCGCCGCACCAACGATACACGAACCTTGCTGGAGGAATTCACCATCTTGCCAAGTTTCCCCGGAGGACTGACAGCAAGGAGGCTGGTGTGAGGCGTGCCGGAGCAGATGTGGGCTAGATGATGTCCCAGTTGAGAGTTGAGCCATGCAAAGTCAAGCAAGACTACGGCGAAGGGATCCATGGCTTTGGGCGTCGAAGTCTCACGCACCGCATCCTCCAACAGCTTCACAACAGAGTTTACACCAGTCTGCATATGGCTCCTACAAAATTACCTTCAGGCTTCACGGCGCTAACGTACCAAAAAAGGTCGACATCTATCTTGTCAGAAAGCTGATTGGCGGGAAGAGCTTCGATTCGCGTATATTTTGAGAAGAGGCTTTCCAAATCACCGAAAATTTTGTTTTCCTCTTTGATGATCGGAACCCTGGTTGGGGAAAAAGATGCGTGAGGAAGACAAAAAAGAATCTACCCTAAAACTAGCCGCAGTGTGAAGGGTTGACAGATATTCTTTGGAGGTGGGACGGATTTTCCAGCGGTTTTTTGTTTGTCGGCCAACGTGACTACTTGTGCACACTCAGCGGCCATATTCGAAGAGGAGGGGCTTACTTTTCAAGGGAAATTGAATAGTCTAAAAAAGATAAACTTAGCTAGCCTCATACTTATAGTCAGACGATAAGATCAAACATCAGACAGGAAGAAATGTGACAAAATAAGGAGGTCAAGGCGAACATCAATTACTGACTGCAGAGCTTAAGCTTTGGTTTAGAATTATAAAATCCAGTCACAGTAATGTCCTACCAATAGAAGCTCTTCCCAAACTGTAGTTGTAAAGATCAAGTGGGGAGGACAGTCCTGGATTTAATCGATTGAAACTTTGGATAAGAGGGTGCAAAATTTCAAGAACAAAATGTTGGAAACACATGTGAGAGACAAAATAACACGGTACCCCGGGTATGAAATAGGAGAATATAGGGTGTCTATGCAAAAAATTACAGTGGACAGTGTAACGTACGACAGAGTTAGGATGGCAACGAAACTCTGCAAAACCAATATATACAACCGATTTGCAATTCGCAAAACTAGAAAAACCCTTTATTCATCACAAAACGGTTGTATACTATCGATGTGAAAAAATTCTATTAACAAAGGCGAAAATAGCCTACGTGTATTCAAAAGTCCTAAATAATCTGTAGCCCAATTGGACCGGAAAAATTCCGTAAATTGACCGCGCTTCTACCAGTCACCTCACTAAATCACCTTTGCATTATGTTTAGAAATACATCAACCTACCCCTTTAAATAAAGCCAACGGTAAGCTATCGCTCAAATGCGCTTTAATTTGCCTGATTTCTCGAAAAGCGTAGACATTTTTATCTAGCAATTACCAAGCATATTTAATTTCCCATTTTGGATAAACATGACCTATTAGAAGAGTAACCATCCTAAAGACTTTAAGTACACACTGCATAAAGGAAAATGAAGCACATCAGTGTCATCCGTTTTTTGCTTCTTTTCCCGGTTTTGATTTCAGCTTCGAAAAGTATAATAGACACTGCATTCGTTTTACCAATTATGGGTCTCAAATATACCTCTGCTCTAAAACTAAGTGACTGCTTTCTAACTTTTACATGTACATCATCGTCTAATGTTCCTATCATAATTTTACTCAGTACGACCTTTTATCCCCTTCCCACCCTCACGGTCGCGGCTATAAATAAGGTAAATTTAACTTCGTAATTTTTCGTGCTATAAATACAATCAGCAGCTCTTTCGCTTAAATATCTAGGCCTATAGGCCTGTGCGGTTTTCCATATTTATCCTGCGGCTTGGCATTCGGTCAATGTCATTTACCTCTCAGTCTTCCGTACGTTAACGATGCAGGTTCTTCGCAGTACTTCGGACTGCTGAGACATAATGGAAGTTTTTGGGGTAAAAGGAAGGGAGAGGGCTACAAAAGGTAACAGTTAGTCGCATTAAGGCCAAAGTTGTACCTTGGTTTAAAACAAAATCCTGCTAGATGTAGTTTTTTGAGAAATAACAACCAAGTAAAAACCAAATGCGATGCCTAAAATGAGGATTCAATGAATTCCGCTCTTTAGTTTACAATGCCATTTCCCCTTGAAAAATTTCCTTAAATAGGCACAATCTTTAATCGCCCAAATATGCATCACTTTCATAATGGAGAAAGCACTATATTCAATCATCGGAAAAGCGCATAGTCCTAAAATTGCGAAAATTGTGACAAAGCTCAGAATTCATGAGCCTTATAACCAGTTACGAATGCCTATAAAATCCAAAACAAAATGGTTAAAATAGCTACTTAAGCGCTCATGTAAAAATTAAAATTATTCATTACTTCATAAGTAGTGGTCGAGCATGCCTAACTAGTTAGTGCAAAAGACTGCCTAAATGGTGGTAAATAAAACAATTTTAATGTATATAAGTCAAAATAAAGTTTGACTGTTCCTACAAACATCTAACTAATGAAATCGTCACAGCTTTTCGCGTCGCCTTAGAAGTCCCAAAAACATATGCCAGTGTATTGGATTGTTTAAACGTCAGTCCATAGAAGGAGGTGGAGGCTATGCGCGTGGCTGGAAGACTATGCTATATGACCTCAAAAATGAAGTGCTCGTGTGCTCTATATGCTCGTAAACCGACACCATATTATTGCGAATAATTATATGATAGATTTCTTTTCCATGGCTGCTGCTTAGACTCTATCCTTCAGTACCACAACCTACTCAATATTATAAAATTCATTGCTCCGATATAATCGGTAATCTCTCGGCTTTTAATGAGGCGCATCGATATTTGGTCTCAATGTAGTACGTTGTCTGTTTTTTCAGCTCGCGGTTTTGATAAAGGGGTCGCTTTGGTTCTCCACCAAATTGCCTGTCCTGGGTGGGCGGACGTCTGGGCCATGCCAGTAGCCCTAGACCTTCCGCATTTCGAATGCATATGTACTGCCCGAGTATTATGTTCTCCTTCCTCTCCAGGGAAGTCTCAGTGCGCTGCATTGCTGGCAGCAGGAAGCCAATGCGATCTTAAAGATCATTTTTTTTCTTATTGCTACGGCTGGGTGATAAATAGTAGTGGCGTGCAAGAAGTGCATATACCACGGATGGAAGGAAAGGTGAAGATCCTTGACAGAAGGGCTGAAAATGACGTCAACCTTAAGTAGCTACCCCAGTCCCGTTGTCTGCGGAAAAGATATTAACAACGGAAGGGGCACTAGCCATGAACCATCCAGGAAAGTTCAGCCTAGAGAAGCCCACCTTTCCAATATTAAGGTCAAGTGTGTAGGACATGCAATACCTCCTCCACCTCTCTACCAGCTAAATAGAAATCTGATAGATATGGGTGGGATAACGTGGCAAAGAGGAACAGAAGTGAAACCCTGCCTCCAAGGAACCATGTAAACCTAGTACCTTGTTGCATGACTCTGCGTTTAGGCCAGTGTTCTTACGAATAGCTAGGGAGTAGGCATGATGACCAGCACCTTTCCTTGTCCCCAAATCCAGCTCCCATAGAGGACCAAACTTCAGATCCATTAAAATCGTCAAGAGGGATCAGTGACGTTGTGGCCGAGTACATCTTCGGTTGAATAGAAATTTGGTGACTGGCACGGTAGGCTCGTGGTTGTTTCCTTCTAGCACCAATTGCATTATGATGGCTAACGCGAGAGGCTGACCAAGGAGAGCACCAGAAACGTCGCTCAAAAGAGAGAAGTGGTAGTTCAATACGTTGTTTGTTTAAACTCTCGGTTTTTGATAAAGGGGCCACTTTGGACTTCCACTATTGCCCTCTCGTCGGGTTGACTGGCCTTTGGACCATACCAGTAGCCCCAAGCTCTAATATATGTAGCATAGGTATATACATATCTACATATTCTGTCCTAGTTCTATGCCTTCTTGCATCTTCGGTAAGTCTGGGAGTGCTACACTAACTGCAGCACTGTATCCATCGAATTGGAAGTTTTGCTTCCTTTATGAAATGCATTGGAGGAGGAGACAGTGCCTAAAATTGAATATGCTTAGTAAGATAATCTTTGTACGTGTCATTTACGAAATAGGAGGGTGGTGGCATGCTCACGTTATTCTTAATTTGTTATATAAATATTGTGAACAGCTCTGTACGACCATTTTGGAATCACTCCAGCACAAAATTTCTTCGCTTGCTGTATTCACTCTTGCAGAATGTAAGATTGAGGTAATAACCTGAAGTGATTGTCACTTCAGCAGTTCTTCCACATTAGGCTTCCACAAAATCAACTTTTCACTACAGATGCCTTTCTTCCGAGCTGGCACGACAGAAGCACAAATTTTGGGGATTGAAAAACTCTGCCTAATTAAGTGAACAGTTAAGCACACATTAAACTTTTGCAGTTCTTTGCTAGTTTTTAACTCTTCGGTGAATAACGCGTGTATGTAACTCACAGCAAATTGTACATCAACTCGTCAATATGGCCTTTCAAGTCATGCCGGTACTATCACACTGCTTCTGTAGGTTAGTAGTATATTTGCTATTATGCTGCTACGGCTACTTATGGCTTCAGGAAGGACTGATGTAATACGATAGTGGTTTATCCCTCGGCATTGGTGAGGAGCCACTTTTGTACTTTGAATTAGCCCCCTCGTACCTCGCTGGGTGGGCTAGCCTTTTGAGCCATGCCAACAGTCCAGACACCTTTTCTGCGTTGAATGTATATTCTGCTCGAGTATTGTGTCTTCTTTCGTCTTCAGGGAGTACCGGGACGCTACACTGAGGGCGCCACACAACCACACCATAACCGGTGTAATTTCATACGAAGTTGAACTTTTGTGAATGAAATATGCTGGATAAATAATAAGCCAATATTAGTGTATCAATTTCAAAATTCCTAAAAGATTGCTTGGGTAATAGGGTGTGTATGTGCTTCAAATAACGGTCAAAAGACATTTAAGTAGATAAACCATGTGCTACAAAAGGCAAAACTAGGAACTTCCTATAAAAAGTGCATAATAGGACTGCGCTTTTGCTAGTTAGGACATGTTTTATGACGTGAAAATTATTTCGATAAGTCGACAGAATGGCGGGGATACCACATACAGTTTTGTGCCCTTGTTGAAGGCCTCATATGCAATTTTTAAGCCTCTATTTTGTCCATGATGTTTTTGTTACTTTGGATTTAGGGGCTAAAATGGCTCTCAATTATATATAATAACTTATATGCAAAGTGGGCAGTGCAGTAAATCTTTGAATTTGTAATTGTGAGGACATGAATACTCATTTGATAGCATGGATAGCACTATATCACCTACAAATGTATTTTTGTCTCACCAAATCTTCTGAATTAAGTTTTCTAACTTCCATGCTAGAGCTTGATTTTTAATTGGCTAGAAGTAGCGGCCTTTACGTGTATGTGGTGTTGTGGTGTAGTGTTTCGTGTAGAATTAGGACATTAACTTGTTTGACCTTCTACTAGGCTTAAGCATCATACGGACGCTACTTCGGTTATATTCTAACAAAGCACCCTTTTTTCGAGTCATTTAGGAGCTTAGTCCAGTTTTCTCTATCAGTTAACTTCAAATGCTTCGTCTATTTGGTAGCTGCTTTAGTGTGAAGGTATGTGATGTTCTAGATGAGCTCAGCCAAAGAAAAACCCTTTGATGCTTGGGATGAGTTTGGTTCCTTAATTTGCCCAAAACTGGCTTTCTAGTTGGGGATGCAGGTGTCCTCTGATCCACTCAAACCTTCCAAGTCCAAGGCGGAACTTAGGCGCGAACGCCGTGAGTTACAGGTAATTTGAATTGGTTGGAATTGTATCCTAGGTTTGCTTGTATTTATTCCGCTTTTAAATTTTCCTAAGATGCAGATGAGACTTGGAATAAACTCTGTAGTTTTGTGGTAGAGCGTCACTGATTTGCAAATGACGGATACTCAGCAATTTGTGTATGTATTACTGTAAAGTTGATGCGATTTCTCTAGTCATAAAGTTTACTTTGGAAGTGGCTTATCGTATGCGTGTTCATATGCAGTGTTAATCTTTTAGGAGGCTCAGCGCGCAGCGAAAATGGCTGCCAAAGGAGCGAAACAAACAAGCACCGTGGCGGCATTGAAATGTACTCCCGAACTTCAGTCCGATGCGAATGTTAGGCCATTAAGCGACCGAACAAGACAGCAAAAACAGAAACAGCTACAACAAAGTGAGAATATCAAACCAGAAGCCTTTCCCATCCCACAGGAGAAGAATATCGGATCTCATTCCTTCCTCACTCCGCAAAATGTTCCCTCTTCAGAAGAATTTGTATTGGAAAGTCAGCCTTCTATTTCCAGTCAGCCAACTACACCGAATAAGTCTCAAGCAGCTACGAATGCACCTGCAGCCAGCGGCGGTCAGCAGGCCCTTGGTGTTATGCGAATGGACGATCCTGCACATTTCAAAAAGTCCGTCCGCCAACTTCACAAGAAAAAGCTGCAACCAAGACCTCAGGAGCCGGTGCGAGTCAACCTCTTCTGTCACCTCAGTCAGCCTGATAAGCGAGTTAACGTGCTCGGTCAGCATAAGTACGTTTTCCTGTCAAAGCAGTCGTTTATTTGTAGGGTTTAACTGTTATTTGTTACTTAGGTTGGGAATAACCTCTTCTATTCATCCCTTCTTCCTACGACTGGGTCTGGAGTTGGACGAGGGTCGGGTGACGGGTTCGAATAGGCGGTGTTTGGAGTTCTTGCGAGCCACGGCGGCATTAATTCTCAACTTTAATTGGGAGGAGACGCCGGGAATTGGAGGGAGTCTCGCAAGGGCGTTTCACACCTACTTTGATCGTCATGTTACTTTTTTGGACCAATGTCGGCCCCTACCTGTTACTGTGCGTAGCGCAGTACAGTATATCAAGATTATGCTCCATCGATTGGACGAAGTTAATTCTCCCGAAGAGGTTGGTCTGTTTCTTGTTGCGTCGGTATCGAAATCTTCCCCACTCATGCTTCGAGATGTCCACCTTTTTCAATCGGTTTAATTTCACAGGTCACATGGCTTCAAGACCACCCGCAGAATGGTTTCTTGTATGCGGTAGACTGTTTCAATGTTCTTTGTTGAGCTACCCTAGTCTGTGCATTTCATTTACAGCTTCAAGCTCCCAGGGATTGAGTTGGCTCCACTGGCTGCCTCAAAATCATCCAGGTGTTTATTGTGATTTGGTAGATGAAGAGTCGACTCTTGGACGCGGTGGGTAATTTCATGGATGAACGGGTGCACTTAGCGGATCGAGCTATCGCCAATCTAGTAGCGGAGTCGGTACCCCCAGGTGGGGTTGTATGCGTTTTCGGCGAATCCACGGTGGTGGCCAAGGCCCTTCAGGTCACGTGGGAAACGCGTCACCAAAATTTTACCGTCCTTGTGGTCGATTGTCGGCCTCGCTGCGAGGGCCGACGGATGTTCCTTCGTCTTCGGAAGATCGGGATCCCCTGTGAAATTGTCCACATTGCTGCTCTGCCCATGGTTGCTCCCAAGGTGCGTTTTTGAATGAAATTTTAGAGTCCTACATCTGTTGAGGCTGAATTGTTATGATTTAAATACGGAATCAGAGAATCTGGACTCATTGCTTTGCTAGTCATGAAAACATGCTACCGAAATAGATTTACTGACTGGATTAGCATCAAGCTGAGTTATCAGAGATGTCAATGGTAATAGGCACTAGTTAATAAGCTATAAGTTTACCGGCGTTTCTGTGTGATGTGACTGGTCTGGGATTGCGATTTTGTTAAAATTCTAACAATGTCAATTTACCGGTTATTTGATGTTCTGCGAAAGCAGCCGTCACTTCTTCGTGTTTGCATAATTAATCGAAAGCTCAATTCATTGGTAATGTTGATATGGGCAAACTGGAACCAGGCATTCAGTATTTAGGAGTCCGATATTATGTGAATAGGCGCGCTGGCGAATGTTTGAATTAAATGTTTTTTGTGGAATCTACAGATCGTATTTCGGGTGGTGAGAGGTATTTTACGCTTGAGTACTCGGCAATCTCATTAATGCGTTAAGGCCAGCAGCATTACTAAGCTTCTAACTGCATTGACGACTTCTACCGACCTATGAATGTCAGATCAAAGTTCAGCTCGTCATGACTCGAACTGAAATAATTGTAATCTAATCTAGGGGTTTTGAACTTTGCAATGGCAAAGGGGAGGGTAGAAGTTTCCCTGTTGGCCAATGTCTTCAGCTGCCTATTTGTAAGCCCCCTTATTCCTCACTCAAAAGTGGAAATCTGCGCATGATGGTCATCTCAAGTCGACCAAGTATATTATAACTACTTGGAAGGCAGAGGGACTTTTGGTTGAAACGATAGACCCCGATGGACCTTTGTGGGCTTCATTGTTGGGATTTGCCGAAATCACATTTTCTAAAGTTGGGCTATGTTCTACAGAGAAGGGATTCGTATTCAGATCGCTTATCGTAGCAACATTCGTTCAATAACAACGCTTCGCGAAACTACTTTCTATCAGTTCCTATGTCGATTTTAGGTCTCTTTAACCTTGTTGGGAGCCCATAGTCTCCTGAGCAACGGCTACGTTATCGCAACCATGGGGACAGCCCACGTGGCAAATATAGTTGCGTCAGTTGCACACACCCCCGTGATGGTGTGTGCGGAGACCTACAAGTTCTGGGAGCGTGCTCAATCTGACGCCTTCGAATTTAACGAGCTTGGCGACCCTGACGAGATTTGGCGCGGACCGCGCGGTACCGCCGCTGACTGGCGAGTCCCCAAAGACCCCGATTTCGTGGTGGACAAGGGCACCCACCCAGAGGCCTGGCGCGAGCTCTCTCAACGCGCCGATGGGTTGAAGAATCTGCGTCTCCTTAACCTCGTCTACGACGTCATCCCACCCGAACTCGTCTCCGCGGTAATCACAGAGCTGGGTATTCTACCGACAACCTCAATTCCTGTCGTGCTGCGGGTCAAACAGGCTTCAATTGAAGCCACCAACTCATTTATATCGACTTTGTGAACTGAGTCCGAATTGGAACTTTTCGGCTCTCAGTGTATAACGACATTTGCTGCATAGTACCTCATGCATTCTCGGCATCGTATTTTCTTTTATGGGTGTAAAACCAAAAGCCCATTTTGTTTAAACACACCACAGAGAACTCCCAAAACTCGTTTAAGATGTGTGAAGTGACTTTAATATACAAATTTATCGGGGTGGTAGAAAAGTGAGGGGGGAGGGGAGTGAGGTTTCAATCAAGTGCGAAGTGGGAGAGGGACGCCTAGTATTCCTCCTCCTCTTCTCCCTCGCCTTCCACCGTGTCGGCTCCGACTTCGTCATAATCCTTCTCAAGGGCAGCGAGGTCCTCTCGTGCCTCGGAGAATTCGCCTTCTTCCATACCTTCACCGACGTACCAGTGGACGAAGCAACGTTTGGCGTACATCAGGTCGAATTTGTGATCGAGACGAGCCCAAGCCTCTGCGATCGCCGTGGTGTTGGCAATCATGCAGAGAGCACGTTGCACTTTGGCCAGATCGCCACCTGGGACCACGGTGGGAGGTTGGTAATTGATGCCGATCTTGAAACCTGTGGGACACCAGTCTACAAACTGGATGGTCCGTTTTGTCTTGATGGCGGCGATAGCCGAGTTCACGTCCTTGGGTGCCACGTCGCCACGGTAAAGCATACAACAGGTCATATACTTGCCGTGGCGTGGATCGCATTTCACCATCTGATTGGCCGGTTCAAAAGTGCTATTGGTTAACTCGGCCACACTGAGACGCTCGTGATACGCCTTCTCCGCGGAGACTGTGGGTGCGTAAGTGACTAATGGGAAGTGGATACGAGGGTAGGGCACAAGATTGGTTTGAAATTCTGTCAAGTCCACGTTTAGAGCGCCGTCGAAGCGCAAAGAGGCTGTGGTGGAACTTATAATCTGCGCAGCTAGACGGTTTAAGTTTGTGTAGGTGGGTCGTTCAATGTCCAAATTTCGGCGGCAGACGTCGTAAAGGGCCTCATTGTCCACCATGAAAGCACAATCAGAGTGCTCAATGGTTGAATGAGTGCAGAGTATGGCATTATACGGCTCTACAACAGCTGTGGAGATCTGAGGTGCGGGGTAGATGGCGTACTCTAGTTTGGATTTCTTGCCGTAATCAACACTCAGTCGTTCCATGAATAGAGACGTGAATCCGGAGCCTGTGCCTCCACCATAGGAGTGAAAAATGATGAAACCCTGAATTCCTGTGCACTGATCGGCCAATTTTCGCAACCTATCTAGAACCAAATCAACGATCTCCTTTCCCACAGTGTAGTGACCGCGAGCATAATTGTTAGCAGCGTCTTCCTTTCCTGTAATAAGCTGATCTGGATGAAACAGCTGCCGATAGGTGCCAGTTCGTACCTCGTCTAAATTCAAAATAATACAAGTATTCACTTGCACATCTATAGATTATGTACGCGTTTTATGCAGAGGTCAAGCAGATTACCTATTACAGTGGGTTCTAGATCCATCATAACGGTTCTGGGAACGTGTTTTCCGGCACCAGTTTCAAGAAAGAATGTTGAGTATGAGTCATCGTCGCATCCAATGGTCTTTTCACTAGGCATCTGTCCGTCAGGTTGAATTCCATGCTCTAGACAGTAGAGCTCCCAACATGCATTGCCCGTCTGAACACCACCCTGACCGATGTGAACACTGATGATTTCACGCTGAATAAAAAAACGCCTTACTGAAGTAGACACGTGAGAAATCATTAAAATTAAAAAAATGAAAAAACCCCGAACCATCGTCTTATTTCTACTTCTGCGCTAAAAAAGCTAAAAGGGTGACGTCCTTCTGGCCGTGCGAACCCTACTCTTATGTTTGGGCATTCAAAAAAAATGATCGATTCTTCAAATTTTTGTTTTATCGATTTTCTTAAATTTTATTACCTGATGTATTTACTGTACTCTTCTGATAGGCACTAAAGTCCATTTGAAATGGCAAAAGTGAGGTGCTTATATACATATATATCAATTCGTAAAAAAAGGCATCGCTACATTCAACCAGGAGAATTAGGGAAAGTTGCGCAAATTGAAACAAGTACTTCAATAATTTTATTAATCGCGCAAATTTCAAGCCGGGAGTAAATGAACCCAAGAAAAGCAATCTGGCAAGAAAGGGAGAATGCCTCTGGAAGACTGATTACTTTTGCCACCAAGTTTGTTACGCCCCAAGCCGACGTACAGTAGGGCATGACCCGGATGCCGGCCCGCGCAGAGAGGGTGCAATGGATCCCTTTACCAAAACCGAGAGTTAAACGAACAACTAATGCATTACAGTTATTTTTTTTTAAAAACACAAAGAAAACTGACTTCAAATATTATTCATAGGTCCCGTTAAGATCCAACCGTTTGAAATAATCAGATCAAATCATAAGGAGGTGGTTATAGATAAAAGACGGCCAGCGACGATGCGAAATGTAAACCTTGGAAATTAAAAATTACAAAGAAATTGGTTGCTTTTTTGGTTTGCTTGTTGTTCATTCATTCACCAGTCGTTCATGTCGAACCGGAGTTTCATGAGGATTTCTTCCCAGGCAATTTGAAAGCAACAGGTTTTAGGATAAAGACTGTTCTAAACTTTCCGACATAGTACTCTGTCATATTAGCATACTTACACCACGACTTATAAGCAATGCAGGGAAATCAGGTTCAGTATAAAGTGATTTCTTATTTAGCGCGTCGAGACTTTCTTGAAGACAAGAGAAGGCACAAGACTGGGACAGAATGTGTATTATTGACGCACAGATGGGCTGAGGGGCTACGGACAGCCCGAAGATTAAACTGCTGGGCGCAAGTACAATGGCCATGCCTCTCAGTGTCTGCCTAACCAAAACAGTATTTAAACAAATGACCATGGTATTACAGGTACTATGGCTTCTCTTGGTTAGGCGCTGACCAGAAGTGGAAGGGTGCCTTGATTGTGCTCAACATTCCCAATAGTGATTCGGCTATCATGCATAATTACGAATTGAACGCCAATGAAGAATCTAGGATAAGGCAGGCTCTGAATGTTCACGAGAGTGAATGCAAAAACCGGAAACCGTCACGATCAAAGTTGGCGCCGAGAGGACTATGACTAACTCTCCCTGAAATGCTTGTACCATCAAAATACCCTATTGTTGAATACGTAAATCGCAGCCCCGTACTACGCCGTTTGAAATCTTTTGAGCATACACGTGAATATCACTGAGATTGAGTTTTACGCTTTTGGTGACATTAAACTTCGTTCATTATCGCATGCTGTTGCAAGTACACATTCACTAATGCATTTGCCTGCCATCTTAGTGGATTTTGTCTGAAGCCTTAAATTGGAAGGTTTAATGTAACTTGAATTGCATTGCCTTCAAAGTGAACAGTAGTAACGGTGCTCTCATTGTAGGTGTTGATAATTATCTGACTCTTTAGGAACGTATAATTTGAGACTTTGAAATTACTGAGAGACCGGCATCATTATGGAAATTCACCCTACCAGCATGAGTGATGACTTCTGAGCATCGTCTTCAGGATTCTATGTGGTTACCCCCTTGCATCGGTTAACACAACAGCGTACGAGCAAACTGTACTGTTTATAAGCCATAGAATTTGCAAACGATTTATCTGTCCTACTAATTGCGAAGCATAACGTAGAATTTTTCTGTGAGCCACCTTTTCAGGGCTAAAGCACATTTCATTTGTAAGTATTCTCTCGTAGACATGCTTACATAAAAGCAAACCAACCAAATGAGACAAATGCAGAATAAATCTGATCATCTCTATAATTTTTGCCTCATTATTATGTAATTACTGCTCATCTCCCTATAATGCATCACATATTTTACGCGCGGCATTTCATAATTCCGCAGTTTTACTACAATACTCGTTTCGAAGCAGGTCAAGTTTACACCATGGAACTAACACAGTTGCTGGAATACATATGTTCTGCTAAACCTTATGTGTTGTCATTTGGATCGCAGGTCGCTCTTACATGATGGATTCCGATGTAGGTACATTCTAAACCGTCAAACTCTGGGTTCATAACCTTAGCCAAAGGTGGGCCATTTTAAGCGTGCCCCAATATTCTGACATCGATATGGAACAAGAGTTAGCTTTTGAGTAACACTAGAGATGAAACTTTGAAACTGACTTTACCACAAGCATTCGAAAAAGCTCGTCAAAGTAAAATGTTAAACAGTTAAGTAAATAATTTGGGCACGTTTTCAGCTGTAACTTTTCAGAGTGATTTAGATAGTCCCGTTTCACGCACCTTAAAATAAACTGACCTACTAAACAAAACAAGGTAAGACCTAGAAGTCTTTTTAACGTAGTTTAAGTTAGAAAGTAATTAACCTCATGAGGGAACTTGCTAATTGATCTTTTAACCATGTTAGATGATAATCTGCGGTCTCGACTGATACAGATTCTGCATTAGAACGAGTACCTCCAAAAAATTACAACCTTTTTAATCAAGCAGGGAGTTTAGTACACTGCATTCGCAACCATTTGCGACCAATTACGCAGTAAATCCAATAAATCAAACGTGGGGTTGAACAATTGATGAAATAAACAAGAACTACTCAACTTCTTTACTTTTAGAGAAGTGGTATGCAAGGTTACTTTACGAAAAGCAGATTTGGCATCCTACTGTATACTTTGTGCACAAAAAACTCTTCTTTATAATCTATCACATGGTGGGACTTCATGAGACCATTTAAACCAATGAAACGATACTTCCACCAGTCATTACATGTCGCTCTCTTTTGTCAAGGTCGGAGCTGTGGCGCTATAAAACAAATGCAACAAAGGCTTGGTACCTAAATCCTAAAAATTTAATTTGACTAATAAATTTTAAAGATTGCAAATTACAAAATATCTGTTTTTTTACTTTTGGATGAACAGGAGTGGTTTAAGCGATGAAACTCCTACTAATATGTCATGGATAATCAATAGGTTTTAAGAAAAAAGTAAATCACTTTTGGCCAATTTATTTATAATTTGAGGCATTTTTAGCAAGATATTGTAAAATTCATTTAGGTGTGTGATATTATTTTCCCTCCAAAATAAATGAGCCGGTGAAAACAGCTGTATATATTAAAGTCACATAACAATCGGTTGTCCAGTTCTTGTTTAGTTGAACAGTAAGGAGGGCAATTTTTCCACTAAATTAAAACCACTGAAAATTCTGTTCCCATATAGTCAAAATCACAAACAAACCCACATCTTACCATCAGTCGATCTTGACTGCTTTGGCAAAATATAATTCTTACCCATAGCAAATAATTTGGCACATCCTAAGGTAAATATTAGGGCACCTGGTAATGGCCAGTAGTTAAGAATTATTTAGTCAGTGCTCCCCGTAATTCCGTCTTCTAAGCATTTATTCTAACAGCACTTACTATCTATTTATACTTTTGATGGTTTGAACAGCTATGAATAAATGAAACGGTTAGGACTGCTCTGTCGAAGTAATTGTTAGCAAGTGTGCCACACTCACACTGCAGTTTTTTTGTCACACTAGCGTTAAGTACGCGTTCCTCATCCTTTGGTGTTTTGTAATCACGATAAGAGCCCGTATTATGCATATGATCTTAGGTTCTACTTGATCACAGTTTAAAGATGCAGTAAGATTCATATGAGAGACACAAAATCATTTAATTTGTGCTTCAAAAGTTTAGAAGTGTGGCAGATCTCAAGTAATAATGTAATAAAGTGAAAATGCTTCGGCCAATTAACTCTCGTCCACTGATGCTTTCAGTACATGTGTGTTTGTCTGTAAGAGAAATCGGACAGTAACAAAACTGTTTTAACTAACCTCTATCATTCTTGGTGGTTGTAATGTTCACTGGAACATCTATTAGCACAAAAAGATGTGATCATCACTTGCGTGTGTGCGTAAATCGAACCAGTTGGAGTAAAGAGCATCACTTTCTTAAAGATAAAAGGAGTCACATCCACAGTGGGACTCACGAGGGTCCTGACAAAAAGCTATCTTTCAAGCCACCAAACACCTATCAGTTCTCAAAATTTACAGGAAGAGCTTGTGATTTAAATACATTTCTGAAATTATCTAAGTGTAGATTCTGCGATGACTGGATACACGATAGCTAAATTGGTGAAGTAAAGGAGACTTGATCTCACTCATTCGGCGGACACATCAAGCATGGTATGTGGCATCCTGTGACTGGATGGCATAGATTTTTTTCTCCACCTTTCATTCATCCAGCCACTTGGAACACCCTCTACTCACATAATTTGTCACAGGTGGTCAACATTAGAGCAACAGTAGGACAGCTTACGAGGATAACACAGTAAAGTAAAAACCACCCCCATATTTTATATATCATTGAGCTGATTGATTGTTGCATTACAATAAGTTAATACAACGGGAAATGCATCAAACTTTCATCAGGCACATTGTAGTTAGGGTACGATGCGACTCATTTGAGCATACGAAATCGGAAGTCCCCAAGTGCTCAGTCAATTCCCTCTCCATCACCTAACTTACTCATTGCAAATGGCAAAAAATTCCTGTGGGTCTACACACCGACGATTCTGCATTTATGACTTTAGCTTTTTAAAATAGGAATCAAGTCATGTGGAGTAAAAATACTAAAATACCGGGCCTTTTTTCTGTGGGTATTTTACACACTGACTATTCTCAGGTGGCAATCTGACTGACGATCACACCACATAAGTGTGTGCCATTAAATCGTAAGGGAACAGAGGAAAGATACCAACTTGGAATGTTTTTGAACACGGCAAATGTAAGCTGTGAAGTCAAACATAGTTTTGTGAGACGCAACAACACTTTTGTTTCACAACTATGTCGCCATTGCCAATGCATAAATAGGTGGTATAAACCGAGTCTCTTGATTGTCTTTTGTGAATTAACGAGTTAGCATAAAGCACATAACGGTGACACCAATGCAAGATTTGTCTGGATTTATTCAGGCGATGCTTAAAGAGGATGAGTTAGTGACTTCTGAATCGCCGAATTTACAAGTTCAGTAAAATTTTTGGAAAGGAGAGTCTACTGAATCGCCTAACGTTCCTAGTGGCTATGAACCGGAGAATGCAGAATTTGATGGGGAGAAAGGTGAGTTGCGTGTTGATTTACATAATGTAACCTTTTGTGCAATCGAAATGCAATATTGTCGAGGTTAACCACTTATTTATTCACTCATTTAATCATTTGTTATTCAATTGTATATGGCACCAACTAGCAGAGAGGCAGGACTAACTCCATTCCCATTAAACCGAATTTTGTTTGCACCCACTTCACACTCTTGGGTTGTTAAATGGTGAAATATTCTGGTGATTAAGAGCGAAATTTGTTGATATTTATGTAAATCAACTCAAAGGACCATCCTAAAAGCCTTGAAAATTGATGTTGAGGACAACATAGAGGAAGGGTTGATATCCACTGATCCTGAACAATTTAAACTGGATTACTTTTTATCACAAACTGGACAATCCCTTAAATACATGTAAACAATAAGAGTGGGTCTACTGGATAGCTTAGAGTTTGTCACTTATGATTCAGCTTATTTCGAACAAGCAAACGCGTACTCAGAACCATAAGCTTGATTTGCCATGCACCATCGAGCATGGCTGATCACGTACACTAGAAGCAACACGTTTGCTCACATCCAACTCGGCACACAGTGAAAAAGTCCAATTCGTGGTGAGCTGAGCCTTACCACGAGCATGTCATTCATGCTACCATCTAATCGGCAATGTACGAATAACTACGAGGTCTCGTATTTTCACCGACATAATGACGGCCCTTATGCAGATAGTGGGGGAGGGATAAAAAAAGAAGGAAGGGGTT